GGGGGTGTCCTGTAACCTAGATTTGCCAGCAGTCAGGGTGGCACCTCAGGGAGGCTGGGAGGAAGATGACTCTGCGGGGTGGGGGACGCAGAAGGGGTGCGGGGAACAAGCTGAAAGCTGACTTCCTCAAGGGTTTTGGGGAGCAGGGTCCTGGAGTGGAGGGCCTGCGAGGAAAGGTGTGTGATAACTCAGGATTGGGGCAAGGGGGCCTTAGGGTTTTCAAGAGCCGTAACAGGAGACTCCAGTATTGGTGTTGGTTGAGTGGTGAGGGGAGGCCCAGCTGCACTGAGGAGCAGCAGAACCCAGGCTTACTCCTGGCTTACTCTGATAGGGCAGGGGAGTGGGGGGATGGGGGTGGGGTGGGATAAGGGGAGTCTCAGGGACAGGTGGGGGGCGTCGGGGCTGTAGACTGGGGAAGGCGAATGGGGCCACGGCGAGCAAGCACCGGGAGAGGGCTTGAGCTACCCTGGCTGCGGCGGTGAGGGGCAAGCGCCAGCAGGGTAGGGAGGAAGAGGAGCCGCGGCCGTCGGGGACGGGGAGACGCCGCGCTGGCCCGAAAGACCGGGTTCGGCCGCCGTCCCCAGGGGCTGGTGCGGGAAGGGGCCGGGGGCGGCTGGATCCGAGACCAGGAGCCGCGGGCGACCGAGGGGCGGCGGCGGTGGCCCCGGGTCACGGGACAGGGACAGGGTCGCGTCCCTCCTGTCCAGGCTTAGAGCGCTGGGGCCGCGTCGAGGAGGGGCCCCGGGAGGGGCCGGTTTCGGGTGACACGGCGACCAGGAGGACGGAAGAGGACTGAGGGTCCAGCCCGGTTCCGAGCCGGTCCCGGGCCGCCTCGGGGAGGGGAGGGATGGGGCCGGCGCCCGGCTAGCCGGCCGGGCGCCCTGCGGGCAGTTCCTCCTCCCGGGCGCACCTTGAGGCTCCGGCGGACCGGCCTCTCGATGATGGTGAGCTCCTGCAGGTCATCCATGTAGCCGAACAGGCTGTTCTGACTGAAATCCATCGCGGCGGCGGCGGGCGGCGGCGGATGCATGGACCGCCGGGGCCCCT